CACATGTAGCAACCATTAACCAAGATCTTATCTCTCCTCATCAACTTGTCAATGGTAAGGATGCATTCCTGCCCCGCTTCCTAAGCAGAAAAAACAATTCTCAGTGAGGCCTTCGCCCTCCAGATTTGTTTAGCTGGAAACTTGACGGTATTCCCACTTCCTTTGATCAAATGAGAATGGAAAGATTTGACAGTGAACAATTTTTAGTCAATTTCCACACCACCTTATCCTTATCATTACTCAGTTATACTTTAGAAATCATAAGAAGCGCCTCAAATTCATCATTCTCCCATTCATTAAGGTTTCTAGACAAAGTCAGGCCCCACACTTTATTTCCATCCTCACTACTATATGCCTCCTCCACCAACATATTTTTCTTTTGGGGCTATAACATATATTTTTGGAAATTGTTCTCTAAGACTGCCCCTCCAATCCTGAGATTTGGCACATCACACCAAAGATTGTTTGGTCTTTTCACATCTAAAAGATCCTTAAGTATCATACTTAAGGATTTGGTACATCATATAACCAAAAAATTGAGAAACTCTAAAAGTATTTTATTGAATAGTTAGAGTATGTCCAAAAAGTGAAATTATGAAGATATTTATAATGCTTCCAAGGTGATCTTTACTAAATAGGATTGATCTAAGAAGTGTTAGTACTAATAGAATTAGGAAGTAGTACTACTAAAACGAAAAAAAAAAAAAACTAAAACATTAGTAAGGATAAAATATTAAGTTACTAAAATTATAATAATAAACTCCTAAATAATATAGTAATTTTTTTGAGTGTAATAATTTAGAGAAATATAAAATGCACCAAAGAGGTGTGAAAATTAAAAATATAATAATTTTATATTTAATAGAATTATGATAATATATTTAGGCAATCTAGAGTTCGTCCATTCTGAATTATTCTCCTCTAATTGGAGAAAACTTGTCCATGAATTTTAAAGTGGTGAATGATGCAAAAGGTTGATCTTTGAGCATTCCCATGAAAACCTACAAACTTTATGTTCAGTCATTCTCTATGAAAAGTAATGGAAATATATGATTCTTCAGGAGTGTGAAATTCTTGTAGAAGGACGATATCAACATACTGATTAATTGATGCATGAAGTTTCTCCATACATGGAACTTCCACATTTTTTGTGGAATGATCTTGAGCAATAGGAACAGATGGTGGTTCTTCTTACTCCATCTTTTGTTTTGTTAAAAATGCAAATTGTTGTCTTTGGGCATTCATGACTCATACATTCGCTTTGTCCACATCAAAAGCAAACAATTTTCTGACCTTTAGGAGTCTTGGAAATTGATTTTGATCCATTCTTCAGCTTGCATTTTGATTCAAAACACTTTTAGGAGTGGATTGCATGAATGGGAACTCAATGTTTCTTGGAATTGAATATCTCAAATATTCTTTTATGTCAAGGGCAGCTTTGTAAGTTTCGGCTATTGGTTGTAAAAGGTTGCCCAATTAACTCTTTTTCAATATCAACTCTTGATCCTGCCTTGGACTGGAATGTTGCTTCACTATCATCTGTCTACTAAATGACTCTGAATTTTTTATTCTTCAAAATTTTATGTGTACTCTGTTATTGACATGAAGTTTGTCAAATTAGTTGAAAGATAAATACTTTTTACAAAGAGTAACCTTTATCACATCCATGTTTCAATTGACAGTTGTCTCTTTCTTGTTTTGTTCTTATCAAATTTATACTACCGTATTTTTTATGAGTTCAACCAACTTCACTTTTGGCAATCTAATGTTTCATGCAGTTGACATGTTATGCTAGTTAAAGCAATCTTTCATCAGTCACCATTTAATAGCTATAATTTTTTTTAACGGGTGTCGGACTAGTCTATTGAGTAGAAGCTGATCAAACAAATTGGTCTAGTCACTCATTGCTAGAATAATGGATGTCACTTATTGCTAGGCGGTGGCTGGTGAACATACCGACCACCATTTGGAGTGTTTAGAGTTTTGTGATTTTGATTTTTTTTTTTTGTTTCAAAGGTTTTGGGGCTGTTTAAGTGTAGTACTCTGGGGATCTGGGATAGGAATTTTTAATTTTGATACCAACTGATGTAGGACAAATTAGGGTTAATTTGCCCTTTAAGGATTCGAAGATAAAAACCTAACATCAAGCATATGATTTTTTGGACATCACATTTAAGAAATTGTAAGCATCATGCTAAATATTTGATTGCATCACACAACCAAAAATAATGATAAACTCTCAAAATATTATATGAATAACTAAAGTCTTTCAATCAAGTTACAAAAAAATATTTATAAATTTCCTAGGTAACCTTTACTGAGTATTAGTATTCTACTTTTTTTTTTAAAATGTAACTTAATAAGATTAAAGTAATAGATAGTAGTACTAATAGAATTTGGAAGTATTACTATGAATACAAATAAAAAAACTAAATACTAATAAGAATAAAATGCTAAAGTTACTAAAACTATCATAATAGACTGCAAAAAATATAGTAACTTTTGTCTAATAGAATATGATCTTTAATCTATTTAGATAACATAGAGCTAATCCGTTATGTCTCAATGAGGTAGGCTCATTCAAGCACCCGCTTTTCAGCATTAATAATTTCATACAGAAGAAAAAAAAAATACAACTAGCCATATCATTTTACTATTGTTGCTGTATTTGATGATGGTGGCTGGTAAAAGGAATGAAATGGAAGTTTTTACTAGCTATGCCTCTGACTCTTGTTCTCTTCAGTTGCTGATTCCTTTCATTTCTCAATCCTCAGGAACTCAGCACTTGATGCATATTTATTTTTGTTTTCGTTGTTTTGATTTTTGGGCTGGTCATAGCTTACTGTGCATAAACATTTTTTTTTTGAAATAACTGTGCATAAAAATATTTTGTAAGTTGTGGCTGTATGAGATTCTTGCGGATTGAAGAACTGTTTAAATTGTAAAGTCTCTTTTCTCTGGTCATATATGCTTTTTTAGATCTGGAAAAGTTATCCATTAGGATGCATTTTTTGAAATAAGTAGGCCGCATAATTTTATTTCCCCCATTGATAAGGAAGAATACGAGGCCACATAATTGTATTTGTCATTGTTAAGAAGAATCCAATGTTCCCATTTATAAAAACCTGTGACAATTTTTTTGTCTTTTTTAATCTTATTTCCGTCATATTTGTTGGTGATAAACAGACAAACATGGCAAAAGGATATACACTATATGTGCTATTAATGAGTAGTGCACGTGCGTATCTACATGTTTTAGGTTTTCATGACTTTTCCATATTTTTCTGCAGTGTTTACTCTTGTCAATTGGAGGAAAAGTGAAAGATGAGCACATCTCCCTTATAATTAATGCTGGGCTTCTTGTAAGTAAAGTTTTTAGCATTTGGAGTTTCATGATGAGTTTTTTGTGGTTGGTCACTAGTGTATGAATTACATGTTGCTTTGGGTATAGTTTGATTTTTACTCTGTGAAAATGAGGTGGCAGAAAATGTAGCTGACAGCTATTTATCCCAACTCAAAAAAAGACAGCAAGGTTTGCTCTAAGTGTCCCCAAGGCCTACCTAAAACTAAAGTTAATGGACCGACCAAAGTTGGCCTGTATCTGGGAAACATTATAGATTTAGATCCTTAGGGTTATGTTCTTGGGTTCTTTGTGATTGAACAATCTTGTTGTTTTCCTCTTGGTTCCTTGTGTGTAAACCAGTATTTTTTCCTTTTAAAAATATATATTATTGTTTCCTATTCCATGAGTGGTTGTCAACAAAAGAGTTTATTTGCAGTACTATGAGGGATGCGTCTTTGATATGACTTCTAAAAGCTATTCTATTTTTTTTTAAAAAAAAAACTTCAAGCTTTCTTGGAACTGCTAGTTTACAGCTTGGCTTGTATGCAGTGCCACAAAATTTTCTGCTCTTTGGAAACTGTTTTTTTTTTTTAAGTATAAATATATCCAT